GTGTGTGTGTGGGGGTGCTGAGAGACCTCCACACATTTCTGCAGGTGGGACCTGGAGGTGCTCACCAGCCGGGCACTGCTCATCTTCCTGAGCCCTGGGCGCGTCCCTCCGCGGACCCACTGGATGGAGTGAGGGGCCCTGTTTAGGTTGGAGGGAGCCTAGGTTTTGACCAAGGGGGTCTCCGATATTGGGGCACAGGGTCTTCCTTTGGTCTCTCCTCACCCGGCCTCCCTCCGGCCATTCAATCTGTGTGGCCAGCAGGGCTGTGACTGGCTGGTTCTGTGAGACGGTAAGTCTTGAGTCTGAGTCTGGTGAACGCCTTGGTGTGAGGGGGTGTTGGGGGTGGTCTCTGTGTGCGTGTGTGTCCTTGTTTCTTGCCGGTGTGCAGCCACCCCACCCCTCCCACCCCCTGCACAACTGGGCCTGAGTGAGACCCCTGGGAGCTGGGGCGCTAGTACTGGCTTTTACTCCAGTCCTGCACTTGGCACACACTGGAAGGGGTTCTGGGGGTGCTTAAATGGGCTAGCTTGGGGGCGGTGAGGCCGAAGTAGACAGGTTTCTTGCCAGCCCCTGAGGGCAGTGGGAAGCAGCCCCGGGCAGGCCGGCCAGTGCAAATAGAAAGTTAATTTGGGCCGGGGCTGGGTGACTGTCAGTCCTGTTGCCCTGCTGCCCGCTCTATTAATATGGCTCCAACCCTGCTGCCTGGCATCACCTATTTATAGCCCATAGTCGGTGGCCACACCCCCTGAGCTGGGAAGGGTGAGGGGCAGAGGAGGGGGCAGGGTGGAGGGTCTTTGGATGCCAGCAGCCTCCTTGGGTGGGCCTGGAGCTGATGGGGTGGAATGCACCCAGTCTGCCCACCTCCTTCCCTGAACTGTGTGGTCAGGCCTGAGGCCCACACCCTCTTCCCTAATCAACCTGGGTTGAGTGGATGAGTCTAGCTAGACCCTATGAACTCATCATTAATTAGCTTGTTAAAGGACCCAAAAGGAGGGGGCCGGCTCTTTGGGAGACAGCTGTGGTTGTGATTAGAGGCCAGTGCCTCGTGCGCTTGGCTATTACTATTTTTCAGTTAGAATCGCCCTGGGATCTCCGGATGGGTGACTCGGAAGGGAAGGTGCCTCTCTCCCAACTGCCCATTCTAACTGCTGTCAGGTTGGACGCACGGTAACTGGATAGGACTGGGTAGAACTGTCCCATCGAGTTTCCAAGGGTACTCGGAGGCAGACTGCCAAGGAGGAGCTAGTGGAATTGAACCACCGTTTCGGTTCCTATGGCTTCACCGGGATTCCTCATCCCCTCAACCCCCCTGAGCAAGTTACTGGGAAGGCCTGTAACTGAGGGTGTGGGCCCAGGGAGAGGCTAACTGCCCACTGTGGTTCTCTGCGATGGAGTTCACAGCCTCCTGGCCTCTTTGCTCCACAACAGTGCCCAGAGTCCCAGCCACAGGCTCCTGAACCTCTCAGGAGGGGGCTGCCTAGGTACCCAGGAGGCCTGGGATGCCCCTTGCCCTTGCAGCCTGCCAGAGCTGAACTGTCTCAGCATCCAGGAATGTAGACTTGCTTGCCAGGCTCAGCACAGACTGGCATGAAGCTTGGGGTGCCAAGTAGAATGCCGGGACCCAGGTTTTGGACACAGGGGAAGAGTGGGTGGTAGAGGCCATCAGGGCCCTGGCTTCTCCCAGAGTAGCATCTTTTGAAGGCAGCCTTCAGCCCCTGGTGGGCAGGGAGGGGAGGAGCTTTGCCAGCCAGGCTTAGGCGCCTGTGGGCACACCTGCTGCTGTGCACAGGCTTGGTGCCTCGGGCTACATTTTCTGGCTTCCCAGTCCCCCTGTGCCCCTCCCCCCTGCACTCACATTTCCTGGGCAGGACTGGGCTTGTGTGTACTGGGAATGAGCTTGGCTGAGGCCGGCCCAGTGGCCTAGGCTTGGCAAGATTCCAGGGGAGGCCAGGGAGCAGAAAGAAAGATGCCACGCTTTGTCAGAGGCTGGCAGTCTCCATACTCTCAGAGAGGGTGACAGAGCTCTCCTCAGGCCACACCATGCTTCCCACTCCTGTCCAGGCCACTCCAGTTAGCAAAGGAGCCCTGGTGGCACAGTGGGCTGCTAACCGCAAGGTCAGCAGTTCGAAACTACCAGCCATTCTGTGGGAGAAAGATGGGGTTTTCTACTCCCCTAGAGTTACAGTCTGGAGACCCACAGGGCAGTTCTGCCCTGCCCCATAGCCTGACCGTGAGTGAGCATCAACTCTAAGACTGAGGGTTTTTTTCAGTGAGTCCCCTAAAAGGATAGGGTAGAACTGCTCTGGATGGTTTCTGATGCGGTGAATCTATGGGAGCCAACAGCCTCAGCTTTCTCCCTTGGAGCAGTTGGTAGGTTTGAACCATTGGCCTGGTGGATAGCAGCCCACTGTGTGACCAGGGCTCCTACACAAGTAGTAAAGAGCCAGAAATATGCGGTCATCTAGCACAGAAGCAACAAAGCCCACCAGCCTGTGTGACCACGAGGTGTCGAAGGGATGAGGTACCAGGCATCAAAGAACCAAAAAACCTCATTGTGAATGAGGGGGAGTGCAGAGTGGGGACCCAAAGCCCATCTGTGGGCAACTGGACATCCCCTTACAGAAGGGTCAAGGGGAGAAGACAAGACAGTCAGGGTGCAGTGTAGCAACAATGAAATATACAACTCTCCTCTAGTTCTTAAATGCTTCTCCCCTGCCCACAAACCAACATCACGATCCCAATTCTACCTTACAAATCTGGCTAGACTAGAGGATGTACACTGGTACAGATAGGAGCTGGAAACACAGGGAATCCAGGGCGGATGACCCCTTCAGGACCAGTGGTGAGAGTGGCGATACCGGGAGGGTGGAGGGAGGGTGGGTTGGAAAGGGGGAACCGATTACAGGGATCTTCATATAACCTCCTCCCTGGGGGATGGACAACAGAAAAGTGGGTGAAGGGAGATGTCGGACAATGTAAGATATGACAAAATAATAATTTATAAATTATCAAGGGTTCATGAGGGAGTGGGGAGCAGGGAGGGAAGGGCAAAAATGAGGAGTTGATGCCAAGGGCTTAAGTGGATAGCAAATGCTTTGAGAATGATGAGGGTAACAAATGTACAAATGTACTTTATACAATAGATGTATGTATGGATTGTGATAAGAGTGGTATGAGCCCCCAATTAAAAAAAAAAAGCCAGAAATATGACCCCGGTTCCTCCCTCAGATCCCAGGATTTGCTGGCACTCAAACGTTCCCTTCCATCCATGGGTGCAGGTTGGGATGGAGGGACATCCGTTCACATGCAATCCGTTCACATGCACTGTCTCATTCACCTGCCAGGTCAGTGGCCCTGTCCCCACTTTCCTGGTGAGAGAACGGGACTCAGAGCTGCAGTGACCGCCCAAAGACCTCCGGGCCATTAAGAGGAGGAGGAGTTGGGCCAAGGCTTCAGATTGGGGGCTTGTAATGCATGGCTCAGCCCGCTCTGCATGCTGGGAAGCCCTGGAGGGCCTGTCTCTAGCAGAGTTGGGTGTGGGTGCCCTACAGGGGATATGTGAGCTGTGTGGATGTGGACACCTGTGTTGGCCATGCTGGTGCTGCGGGGCGAGCGTCACTCAGCCAGGCTGGCCCTGCCAAGCCTTTTCTTTCTCTGCAGGCTGTATGTTGTGCCTGGGCCAGTCTACCTTCCTCCGCTTTAACCATCCGGCCGAAGCCAAGTGGATGAAGAGCATGATTCCGGCAGGGGGCCGGGCCCCGGGGCCCCCCTACACCCCCAGCCCTGGTAGGTATCCAGCTGGGACAGGGATGGGGTTGGTGGTGGCCCTTGCCTACTCTGGTAACACAGGACAATACCTTTGATCTGGGCTTGCTGCCACCTGTGTGGGCCACTGGTGATGAATGGCAGGCAGTCAGGCCACTGGGAGAGATCCAGGACTTGGCTGGAATTAGGGAGTCATGTGCCCAACGGCTGAGGGGTTCTGCCAGCTTGTGTCCCACTGCCCTGGAAGATGCTGGTCCGTGCGTGGGACCCTGGCACTCTGTGTCCTGGGAACCAGCAACTGGTTGGCTTAACCCTTGAGGGTGGCCTGATGGGCAGTCGAAGCTGTAGGCTGTGTCTCTGCTAAGTGCTGGTGGATCCCACCTGCTGGTGATCTGGTCCTTGGACCCTGCCCCACCCTGGCCCTGCCAGGCCAGTTGATGACTCAGGGGAGCAGCTGCAGTTTATGTGTGCATTATTGATCCCAGAAAAGAGAGTTGGTGATTGTCTCAGGGGCCCAGCCTTCCCTCTCCTGCCACCCACCCCCACCTCAGTCCAGCTGCCTAGCAGGGGGTGGGGCACAGACTAAGAGTGCCAGTGGGCATTCAGATGGCGCTGGCTGACAGGTGCCAACCTGGGGCTGGGACAGATGGATAGGGCAGGTAACCCTAGTGGTTAGTCTGGGACCCGGGGGGAGATGGGTGGTTCCAAGGACCATCCATTGTCATGAATGTCTCTAACCGGGGTCCCACTCATTCTGGACCCAAACAGTCTTGCAAAGGCTGTCTCACCTCTCCCTCCCAGTCATTTCCAGCCCTCTGGGGTTTCCGCAGCCTGGGCTCCCAGCCCAAACCACTGTCAACCTCCCTGCCATGAAACCGGTGCCCACTCATAGCCACCCTGTAGGTCAGGGTAGAGCTGCCCTCTGTGGGTTGCTGAGACTGTCACTCTTTGCTGGAGGAGGAAGCCGCCTTTCTCCCGCTAACCGCTGACCTTGTCACCCACCACCCCACCAGGGCTGCGTAGCAGGCTCAGCCAGCTCCTGTTGAGTCCGCCCTCTCCTCCAGCCCCGCCTTGCCCTCCCAGCTCTCCCAGCGCATTCCGAGGGCTCCTGGTTGGTTGGCTGAGCCTGGGGCAGGGCCAAGGCTCTTGCTGGCTTAATGGGATAATTAGAGGCACTGAGCTGCACCTAGCCACTGGCCAGCCTGGCTTCTAGGAACTGAGCCTGAGAGCCAGACCCCTCCCCTGCTTCTGATTGCATGTCGTGGGGCTGCATGCACCCCTGACCCATCCACCCTGGGGGGCTTCCTTTCTCCCTGGGCCTCTGGTGCCATCTTGGAGAAGGTCCCCTGGGAGCTCTAGCTGCCCCAGGCTCCTCCCTGTCTACTTGCCCTTCCCCTAGGAGAGGCCCAGGAAGTTTGGGAAATCCAGGCAGCGAGGAGCCTAGTGGGAGTGAGACAGTGGTGGGCAGCAAGTGGACCTGGCGGTGCCTGGCCTCGTCTGCAATGCTGAGCCATCCAGCGTTAGAGCCAGACGGGTCCTGCACATCCTCTTATGTACAGGGGGGATACTGAGGCAAGCTGAGACCAAATGCACAGTCCATAGTGGTAGAGCCTTTGTAGCACTGCTGCCCACCCCTGCCTGAGGAAGGGTGGGGTAGGTGCCCTCCCCCCTGCTAGAGGAGGGGCGGGGTGGAGAGCAGGGCCTGAGGCCTTTTTGCGGCTCCCCTCAGCTGAGTCCGAAAGCCTGGTGAATGGAAACCACGTCCCGCTGCCTCCCCCCCGGGTCCCCCCGGCCTGTGCCAGCCACAGTTCCCTGGTGAGTTCCATCGAGAAGGACCTGCAGGAGATCATGGACTCGCTGGTGCTGGAGGAGCCTGGAGCTGCTGCCAAGAAGCCTGCTGCCACCTCCCCTCTGTCACCGATGGCTAATGGAGGGCGCTACCTGCTGTCCCCTCCAACCAGCCCTGGCACCATGTCCGTGGGCTCCAGCTACGGGAACACGTCGCCAGCCTTCTCCCCACTCTCCTCACCAGCCAGCAGCGGGAGCTGTGCCAGCCACTCGCCCAGTGGGCAGGAGCCAGGACCTTTGATGCCCCCGCTGGTGCCTGCCCGCTCCTCCAGCTATCATCTGGCCCTGCAGTCCCCACAGCCCCGTCTCAGTGGTGCCCGGCCCTCTGAAAGCCCCCAGCTGAGCAGAAAAGGAGGCCACGAGCGGCCCCCCAGCCCTGGCCTCCGGGGTCTGCTGACGGACAGCCCTGCCGCCACTGTCCTGGCAGAGGCCCGCAGAGCCACCGAGAGCCCCCGGCTGGGTGGACAGCTGCCTGTGGTGGCTATCAGCCTGAGTGAATACCCTGCTTCCGGTGCCCGCAGCCAACCCGCCAGCATTCCTGGCAGCCCCAAGTTCCAGCCTCCAGTCCCTGCTCCCCGCAGCAAGCTGGGCACACTCCAGGACCGCCCGCCCAGCCCTTTCCGGGAGCCGCCTGGCCCAGATCCGATGCTGACAACCAGCCCCTCTCGCCAGCTGGTGGGCCGGACCTTTTCTGACGGGTCCGCTGCCCGCATGCTGCAGCCTCCAGAGAGCCCCCGTCTGGGCCAGCGGGGCCTGGACAGTCTGCGGGAACTCCCTCCCTTGAGCCCATCCCTGCCCCGCCGGGCACTCTCCCCGGTGCCAACTCGGACCACCCCGGATTCCAAGCTGACCAGGGACGTGGCAGAGAGTCCCAGGCCCCGGCGCTGGGCAGCTCATGGGCCGTCGCCGGAAGACTTCTCCCTGACTCTGGGTGGACGGGGACGCAGGACACGGAGCCCCTCGCCCACACTGGGGGAGCCTCTGGCACCCCGCAAGGGCAGCTTCAGTGGCCGACTGAGCCCGGCCTATAGTCTGGGCTCACTGACGGGGACCTCACCTCGCCAGAGCCCCCATGCCCAGAGGAAGCTCTCCAGTGGGGACCTGCGCGTGCCCGCCCCCCGGGAGCGGAAGAACAGCATCACTGAGATCAGTGAGGAGGACGACCTCCTGGACTACCACCGGCGGCAGCGCCAGGAGAGGCTGCGGGAGCAGGAGATGGAGAAGCTGGTGAGCGGAGGCCAGGAGCTGGCTGGAGGGCAGGGGCACTGCCAGGCCTGGGGAGGCCAGCCGTCCAAGGGGGAGGGGGCCTGGGACAGGGCCTGCCTTTGTCCGCCTTCCCCGCTTTCAAAACCCCACCGCCCTCAAGTCCATTTCTGACTCAGAGCGAGTGAGGGGCCTGCTCCGGAGAGTCCCGAGGCGGAGTAGCTTTCCTCCTCCCGCGGCTGCAGGGTCCAAACTGCCCACCTTGCTGTGAGCAGCTCAGTGCAACCCACTCTTCCCCGGAGCTCCAGCCCAATGAGCATGCTCCAGGTCCAGGTGCCCTGTGGACTCCTTCCGCATCTCAGAGGGGCCCCTCCTTTTAAACGCCTGCTACCTTTGCCATTATCTGCCGGGCACCCAGCTCTTTGTCTCTGGGCACAAATACTTTCTGCTTCGCCGTATGAACCGGAGTGTGAGCAGCACGGGGCGCGTGGGGAACACGCCCCACTGACGGCGAGCCCTCACTGCTTCCAGAGGGGAAGGCGGAGGCGAGGGAGGGCAGTGGGGGTGTCCAGTGAGCCCACTCCGCCCCACTCCACCCCTTATTGCTTCCCTGACCTGTAGGAAGGGGTGGCTCTGGCACTCCCTGGCCCTGCGGGACCTTGTGAGGTTGGGGGTGGCAGGAAGAAGGTGAGAATGAGTGAGTGGCCCTGGCCTGCCCTGAGCTGGCCCGTGGGAGGGGTGTCTGTGTGTGTGTTTGCGGGAGGGGGGTGGTGTCCAGGGCCTGGGTATGGCTCTGGGCAGCTGTCTGGAGCTGGCCTCTAGGCTGGGTGGGGGCTGGGATTCCCCAGATAGTAAGGGAGCTCAAGAGGCTCTGTTTGCCCCCCACCCCAATGCCTCTCCTTTGAGGCAGACCAGTCAGTCCCCTTTCGGGTGGGGATGAGAACCCCAGGATTGGCTTGACGAGGTAGACTAGAGGCTCCTCTGGGGACAGGGGACAGCTCCGCGTGCCCGTGTGGGGCATCTTTTCATTTGTTGCGGCTTCTCCTCATCCTCTTGACCTTGATCTAGAGCAGGGATGTCAAACTGATGGCCCTTGGGCCACATGTGCCCCCGAGGTCATTTTTTATAGCCCCCGGTGCTCTGAAATAAAATGAAAATAGAAAAAAAATTGTTATGAAGAAAATAGCACTTAGGGGAGATGGAGGCAATACCGTGCACACAATTCCCTCGTTACAGGCTAGGAGGCTGGAACAGGCAGAGTGCTGGCCTGGCCCAGACCCCTTCCCCTCTCTGGGGGAGCCCTCCCATCCCCCCCGCCCCACACACAGGCACACACACACCTCACCACTAGCACCAACCTGCCCCACCTGCCACTTTAAGCTTGAGGCTGCCAGCCCCACCCCGCCCTCCTCACCCAGGCTGCTTATCTGGGCCCCGGGGCTGGGGCGGGGAGGCAGTCCCAGCGGTCTGGTACTGAGCTGGTTCCTGGTCTCCGCCATGGACATAAGCAGGTAGCTGCAGGGAAGCTGGGTGAGAGTCTGGGGGTCTTGGGCGAACTGCCGCTGGTGGGAGGTTCCTGAGGAAGTGGAGGGGCCTTGAAGAGTCATATGTACCTGTGGGAGTGAGAGTGGGTGGAGTACCTTCAGGGCTGGGTGTTAGGAATGAGGGTGCTAGGTGCAGACCAGCAGCTTGATTGAACCAGCCCTCGGCCATTGCAGGGGTGGGGTGGGGTGTTGAGGGGGGACCCCCCCACGCGTGACAGGGCTGTGAAGTGTTCACATCCAGGCCTGTGCCCTCTGAGCCTGGCAACTGCCCGTGTGACTGCTCAGGGGTTGAGGGCCACCCGTGAGGGACAAGGGGACAGAACCAGGACTCTGCCTCACTGGCCACCCCATGTGTTTGCGACTGGGGTCTCCATGCCTCAGGATGTGTCTGCATGAATTTCTGTGTCCGGTTCCTGTGGGTCTGTGGTGGGCTGCTCACCGGCCGGTGGTGTGGGTGCCCACTGTCCCGTGTGCTGGACTGTGGGTACCTGTGTGTGTGTGTGGTGGTGTGTGTCGGTCAGCACATGGCCCGCGTGGAGATATGCTGGGAAGGCATCTCTGTGGTTTTAACCCGTGTCTGCCTGAGTAGCTGTAGCCAATGGTGGCCTTAGTCTGTATACTCAGTCGTGCGCGCTTGGGTGCCTGGGTGTGTCGGCCTCGAGTCTGGGAGCCTCTCCAGGCCTACCAGGAGGAGGAAACGGAAGCAGAGAGACTGGAGAGAATGGCCACGTGGGCATGTGCCCAGCAGCCTGGATCCTCCTGCCCACTGAGTCCTCCCCCCCCGCCCTTGCTCAGGCCTTAGGGTAGGGGTTCTCCTGACATGATACTGGGCCCCTGGGGTCCAAGTTTTCTGTCCCCGGCTCTAGGACTTGGCCTCTGCGCCCTCACACCCTGCTCTGTCCGCCCTGCCCAGGAACGCCAGCGTCTGGAGACCATCCTGAACCTGTGTGCCGAGTATAGCCGGGCCGATGGGGCCCCTGAGGCCGGGGACCTGCCCAGCATCGGAGAGGCCACTGCAGCTCTGACGCTGGCCAGCTGGAGGCCCTCGAGGGCCCTTGCAGGCGCTGCGGGGCCTTGTGCACGGAGCAACCAGGAGCCTGGAGGCGCCCCCCAGCGCCTGTGGGAGAGCATGGAGCGCTCAGATGAGGAAAATCTGAAGGAGGAGTGCAGTAGCACCGAAAGCACCCAGCAGGAGGTAGGGGGCATGGCCCGGGGCTGCCCGACTGGGCTGTGGGGCGGCAGAGGAGGCCGGTATGCCAGTTTGTTAACGAGGCCCCAGGAAGGCTGGAGTCATCGAAACACTCGAGTTAGGGAAGAGCTTGGGGCCTCGAGGCGTAGAGATGAGGAGGCAGGAGGGTGCAGGCAGTGGGCTGGTGAGCTGCCCAAGCTGGACATGTGCTTTCTGCCTGGCCCTGCCTTGGGGGCCCCTGCCAGGCCCAGCATTCAGCGCTGCTTCGTGGCTCCCCAGTGTTGAGCCTGCCTGGGACCTGCCTCCTCTCAACTCAGTGCTCCTGCACGCACTCTAGGCACCAGCAGCCACGCTCAACATCTGCCCCAGAAGGATCCAGGCTTTGCCCACGGTCACCGCCTTGCCTTGCCTTGCCTTGCAGCATGAAGATGCGCCCAGCACCAGGCTCCAGGGAGAGGTGGCGGCTTTGGAAGAGGAGCGGGCTCGTGTGCTGGGCCGAGTGGAGCAGCTCAAGGGCAGGGTGAAGGAGCTGGAGCAGCAGCTGCAGGAGTCTGCCCGGGAGGTGAGCCCCAGGGCCCCAGGTTGAGTGGGGGCCCCAGAGAGGGGCATGCCTCCTGCAGCCTTGATGTGGAGCCTGGCATCTGCCCACAGGCCGAGATGGAGCGGGCACTGCTGCAGGGGGAGAGGGAGGCTGAGCGGACACTCCTGCAGAAGGAGCAGAAGGCGGTGGAGCAGCTGCAGGAGAAGCTGGCGAGCCTGGAGACCAGCATCCCAAAGGAGAGGGACAAGGTAATTCACGCCTGGCCCAGTCCACTGCTGGGTACCAGGGGCCTGGACGAGGAGGAGGAAGTGCCGTTTCGGGACCCTGCGCTCCCCACCTCATCTACCTTGCAGGCCAGGAGAGCTCTGTGCCTCTGCAGGGCACCTGGAGCTCTGTGCAGGTACCAGCTGGGAAGGCACTGCCAGGGGCTGGGCTGGTGGCGGGGGCCTCCTCTCTGGGTCTCTGTGCTACCTCCGGGTGCTTGGGTACCTGCCATTCTGGGCCCCCAGGGCCCTTCTAGGAAGTGCCCAAGCCCCCTCTCAGCGGTGAGCCCTGTCCTGGGAGTGGTTCAGGTCTGACCAGGTGAGCCATGTCTTCCTCCAAGCACGGCTCCGGTGTGCAGGACATGGTCTTTGGGAGATGGTCTTCAGGTCTCTGCTGCCCCTGAGCCTTCAGGATTTGCAGCCTCCCCTCCCAGCTCCTGCCCCTGCCCCTTTCAGATTTCGTGCCAGTCTGCAGGGGCCGATCCATCCCTCAGGGGCCCTGCCAGCCGTGCCCAGGATGCCCCGCCGCGTGCCAAACGTTCTCAAGTGGAGAGGGGATCGCCTATTTCTGGATTTGACAGTATTCCCCCCGAGAATTCCATTTTCCTTCTGGAGTTTTTGAGCAGATTTCCCTCCTGCCTTCAGTTTTGAGGCTCTGAAAAATTCTTTGACCCACTTTTTTTTTGGAGCTTTGACTCTGGCCCCCCAAAAACCACACTCCCAAATTCTGTGCCAGATTAACTTGATGCTTGCCAGCCAGGCTTGCACTAATGCCCCTCCCATCCCTGTTCTGGGCCATCCGCATGCCCCTAACTGCCACTGCCACCCAGGCGGTGCTGGGCCACGCCAGCCTTCGCACTAACTCCAGGGGCGCCCCTGGGCCCCCATCTCTCCCTCTAACACTGCGCCTCCTTCCCTTGGTGTGAGCCCCAGGGGTTTGTTGAGAGAGGCACAGGTAAGGGTCGCACAGCTCAGCTGTACGAGTGGAGTGGGCATTGCAAGGTTGGGGGACTGAGTGGCTGTAGGGCTTCTCCCATCTAGAAAGCCCGCCGCCTGCCTCCAGACTGTGGGTAGTTTTCTTCAGGAAGAGAGAGGCAGGCTGGCCAGGTGGCCCAGACTTTCCCTTTGGAGCCAAGGGCCAAGGGTCCCCATGTGGCCCTCTCGTGGAGGGCTTGGACAGGCCTCAGCGCAGGGGCTGGTCTTCCTAGTGCTTCAGTCTCTGGGCTTCTTGAATCTCATCCTAACCAGGTCTCGTCTCTAGTAGCCACCAGGAAGGTAGGAGATGGCCCAGACCAAGGCCAAGGCTGGGGAGGTGCTGGATCTAGCATGTGTCCTACCTGGGTCTTCTTCTCCAGGGACGGGGAGACAGGACCCTTGTAGGTGCTTACTCCCGAGGAGTAAGGGCGGGGGAAGCTCAGCATTTCACAAGGGACTGACTCAATCTCATTTCTCCTTCCCTGGGGTGTTCTGGAGGCCAGCGGGCCTTTTCTCTGGGTCAGAGTATCAGAGGTGGCAGTGGCGACAGTGGTGGTGGCCATGCGGTGGCGGTGGTAGTAGTGGTGGGGTCTTGGGGTGGTGCGGGTGGAGGTGGTCCTCTCAACTTCCCTCTCCAGCCCCAGCCCTGTCCCCACTCTGGCTTGTTTCTCTGCCTGTCCTGTCCTTTGGAGGGGTGACTCACCAACCCCTCCCCTCGGCCCCCTTCCGCCTTCAGAGGTGTCATCTCACCCCAGACAGAGCCATCCACCTCCTCTCCGGCCCCCTCTGAGGGCTCTTGTCACCATGGCAACGGGGAACTAATTGTAACCCTGGTGCCTGCTGAGGTTCAGCCTTCAGTGCCAGCACCCACCCCCACCCACCCAGCCAGCCCTCCCTCCTAGGGCGGGTGTGGGGAGGAAGTCCCAGGGGGCTGGGCTGGGGTCCCCTCGCTCACCCTCAGCTGCTTTAGCACCCTCAGCTCCTGACTCACACGTACCCCTGCCTCTACCCCACACTGCCCTTGCCCTTCCTCCCAGGGTGAAATCTTGGTCTCTGGGCTGAAGAAGAGGGAGGATGAGGGAATGGAGCTCCTCGTGTTTTGACCTTGACTGGTTTGGGGAGAAGGCCAGTGGGCTGGGGATGGAGGGGGGGGTGTTGTGGGGGGGGTGGACTTTTCTTTGGGCGCCCCGCCCCCAAACAGACACGTGTAGTTGCAGGAGCTGCCAGAGACCACAGTTTCCGCCCTGCGCCCCTCCCTGCCTGTGGCAACCTCCCCTGCACCTGAGCCCTGTGCCTGCAGCCCAGCCCCGTCCTCCTGCACCCCTTGCCTCCTCCCTGCTCCTGCCCGTCCCTCCCCTCCCCTCCCACCTGTTCTGCCTCCTGGCCTGGCAGTGCTTCGCCCGCCCGCCCGCCGTGCCGGCGCCCTGGCCCGTGGCGGGGCTCTCGGGCCGGAGTTGAGGAGTGTGTGTTCTCTTTCTCCCCTGTGCCGCCCTCCCCCCTCCCGCCGACCAGGAGAGGGCGGAGCTGGCCGCGGGACGGAGGCACCTGGAGGCCCGCCAGGCGCTCTACGCCGAGCTCCAGACGCAGCTCGATAACTGCCCCGAGTCAGTGCGGGAACAGTTACAGGAGCAGCTGAGAAGGGTCAGTGTCACCAGCCCCCTCCCTGGCCCCCGAGGGCCGCCTGCCCAGCAAGAAGAGGAGCGCGGCGGGGCAGGACCACCTGGCCTCTGCAGTACCTGCTCAACGCCAGGGTTGGCGCCGTGGCTTGGAGGGGACGGGAAGGCTTGGGGGCGGGGTCAGCCCCCTCCTTCCTGCGGCTCACAGGGGAGAGGGGCCGGGTGGGCTGGGAGCCGATCTCCTCCCCCCTCCCCCCAGGCCCTGCCCCCAGAAGCTGCCGCCCTGGGGCTGGCCCTGGCCGCCCTGGGGCCTGCCCTAGCCGGTCGGCCCCGAGTGGCCTTGCGAGCCGCCCCAGCACCGCTGGTCACTGTCGTTCAAGGAGGCGGAGGCCCTGGAGACGGAGACGAAGCTCTTCGAGGACCTGGAGTTCCAGCAGCTGGAGCGGGAGAGCCGCGCGGAGGAGGAGCGGGAGCTGGCCAGCCAGGGGCTGCTGCGGAGCAGGGCCGAGCTGCAGCGCAGCGTCGCCAAGAGGAAGGTGCGTGCGCCCGGCCGCGTGGGGAGCTCGTGCGGGCTCATGCACCTCTCCGAGCCCCCAAATCGAGGGATGGCAGACTGGTGTGGCTGAGCCGTGCTTACTGCACCCTGACCCGTCTCGGCCTCCCCGTGGAAGGCGCGCAGGTTCTGGCCCGGGAGTGGGAGAGAGGAGGAGGTCGGAAAGAAGGGCTACCCTCATCCCTGTGGAGCGCCCTGGCTGGAGGTACTGGGCGCTGACTCCCTGCCCTGCCTCGGCTAGGCATGGGCTAAGGCTGCCCAGGGGATTGGGTGTCCCGTAATGTCTTCTCTGGATCCCAGCCCGGTCAGGTGGGGGGCAGGTGTGTTTGTGAGGGGAGGGGCTCCCTGGAAGAGCACATGTGCCGCTGGTGGCAGGCTGGAGGTGAGATGGGGGAGAGGCGTCTGGTGGATTTGGTGGTAAATTGGGAGCCTCTGGTCGCACCAACCACATGCACCTCCCTCACCTCTCTCTGCCCTGCTTTGCTGGACAAGTGAGTCTGGTGGGCTGATGGTGAAGCAGGAAGAAAGCGGGCCTTTCCCGGGTGCCCAGCCAGCCAGGCGGCTCCCCCAGCTGGTCTCTACAGTGGGCCACAGGGCAGGCACTCAGCCTGTTGTGCCCACCAGGAAACCAGGATGTAGAGAAGCGACTTCCTTGCCTAGAGCCTCTGGTTTATAAGCTTCAGAATCAGACTCAGGCCTGCGCTGGCCCTTGCGCTGTTCTGCCCAGGGGCTGGAGGCAGGGGCTGGCGCTTCTTGGATTCCTG